TATATTTATTTTTTTAGTTGATCATACTCCAAGTCACTCAGAATCAAAGAGGGGGAAAATATTAGCCTTTTAATATCTTCAATGATGAATTAATGACTCTAGATGCTTATGGATTCTGTTAATATGTTTTAGAGTTTTTGGATCAACATTATAAAGTTTAAAATATGAATCAACAACGAGGAAGAATGCCAACAAAAATAAAGAAGAGTTAAAATAAATAGTAAAACAATTAGACGTGGCATAGATCTATATACACCATATATATATATATATATATATATATATATATCACTCAACTAGGTAACAAATATATGTTCTTCTCAATAGCACATGGAACATTCTATATGACCATCCAAATGCTAGGCCAGGAAGAAGCTTTAGTACTTTGAGGAGGATAGAAACATGTGCTTTCTATAGCCAGAATAGACTAAAATGAGAAATAAATAGCAGCAGGAAATTTGAGAATTCACAAAAAAAATCAGAATTCTTATAGGGTGCCAAATACCTAAAATTAAAAAGAAGAAATCTATAAAATCAATTGCTTAATCTTCCACCTTAAGAAACAAGAAAAGGAAAAACACACTAAACTCAGGGAAGAAGAAATAACATTAAAGTGGAAATAAATGAAGTAGAGAAAAAAATGCAGTACAGAAAATCAAAGCTACCACAAGTTAGTTCTTTGTAAAGATGAACAAAATTGGGAAAACTTTAGGTGGAATGACTGAGAAAAAACGAGAAAGAACCCAAATGGTTAAAATCAGGAACGAAATAAGGAAAATACCACAGGTCTTACAAAAATGAGCAGAAGGAGTATAAAGTATATTGTGAACAACTGTGCCAATAAGAATCCCAGGTGTCACAGAGATTAAAGCACTCAGGTACTAGCCCAAAGTTGAACCTTCTAGCTGATCAGTTGGCTTCTGTGGAGCTTCATGGCCATGAAAACCCTAGCACAGGAGTTCTGCTCTATCTTATAGGGTCATTATGAGTTGCAACTGGCTTGACAGCAGTGGGTTTTGTTTACGCTAACAAATTGGACACCTTAAATGAAATAAAAATATTCCTGGAAAGGCAAAAACTATTCACATCCATTCAAGAAAAAATAGAAAATCTGAATATACCTATAACACATACAGAGATTGGATTGTAATTTAAAGACTTTCCACAAGAAAAGCATAAGACTTGATAGTGCCATTGATGAACTCTATCAAACATTTCAAAAATGAACATTAACTATCCATAAACTCTTAAAAAAAACAGAAGAAGAAAGAATGTTTCCAAATATAACTCAAGCTGTATGATATTACTCTGATATAAAAACCATATAAAGATATCACAAGATAAATAAAAATGCATCAAAAATATATCTTATAAATATAAATCTATACCTCTATTTAAAGATGGCATTCTTTTCTACATGGAACATACTGAGGGATCCCCCCAGACCAATTTTAAACTCAAACTTCCTGCTGTTGAATCAATACTGGCTCACAGCGATCCTGTAGGACAGAGTAGCCCTGCCAGTTAGCCTTTGTGAGACGCGTCAATCGCTACACGAGTAGACAGCCTTATCTTTCTCCTGTGGAATGACTGATAGATTAGAAATGCTGACTTTGCAGGGTGCAGGATAGCACCGTTGAAACATGCAACTTTCCTCTAGTTCTTTAATGCTTCCTTGCCCTGCCACCCCCCCGCCCCACTATCGTGACCCCAATTCTACCTTGAAAATCCAGCTAGACCAGAGCATGTACATGGGTACAGATAAGATCTGGAAACACAGGGAATCCAGGGCAGATAACCCCCTCAGGACCAACAGTGAGAGTAGTGAGACCAGGAGGGTAAGGGGAAGGTATAGGGAGAAAGGGGGAACCGATTATGATGGTCTACATCTAAGCCCCTTCCAGGGAGACAGACCACAGAAAAGTCGGTGAAGGGAGACACTGGTCAGTCTAAGACATGAAAAAATAATAATTTATAAATTTTCAAGGGTTCCTGAAGGAGGGAGGGTGGGGAAAGGATGGAAAAAATGAGGAGCCAATATCAAGGTGAGATAGTTAATGTTTATTGTACCAACCTGGCCAATGAGTTAATTCTCAGGACAATGGTATATCTTATATCCCTAGAATAATGCTAAGGAAATATTAGTTATGAGGTGATATATTTTGAATTGAGTATCTTTGGAGTACCTGAGTTCTTGACCTGTGAGGAAAGGAAGTTTACGCCCAGGTGAGTAACATGCAATGGCTTAGTACTTCAGAGGATACCAGTACTTGACTTTCTCTGTTATCCTCATTTCTGTATAGACTCATAGTCTCATAATCACTAAATGTAGAAGCGGCAAATAATATAAAGCTCAGAGATAAAGAAAAAAAACACCCTCTTTATTCCCAAACAACGGAAACCCCAGGTCTACTATATCCGTGGCTGCCGCGTGGATGATGACTCCTGTCTCACAGAGTGCAGCTGCTCTAGAAGGCGTTCTTTCCTGTAAGTACTTTTCAGTTATCCTTGAGGTTAAATATTACATAGTCTTAAAATCACAAACTCTGTACTGTATTCACTTATTTTATTCAAGGGGCATAAAACAGTAATAAAATATTTGAATTGTCAAAGATTGCTTGCTTCATTTATGGATCATTTAAAAGCTCAGTAAGCATGCTTTATTTCTGTTCCTCAGGTCACTATGATAGTTGGACAGATTCTCACTTTACAAACCAACAAGCGTGGTGCAGAGGCATTTCTACTGTTCGTTCAGTTGCGCAAGAGCCCTGTGGCTCGTGGGTACCCATGAGTGTCGATGCACACAGTCAGCAGTTGGAAACCGCCAGCTGCTCTGCAGGATCAAGGCCAGGCTTTCTACTCTCCTCAAGAGTTAGCTCTCTGAAACCCACGGGGTAGTTCTACCCTTTCCAGGAGTCTGCATCGACGTAATGGCAGTGAGTTTGTTTTTTTAATTGCACTGTTTTCTGTGTATTGCACGGACAATCTAACACAGAAATGAAATAGGCAAACTGTCCCCTCAAGCTTTGCTTATAGAACTAGGGTCCACACAGGCCTTTTACTGCACCTACTGATTTGAAACAAGTTAAAACTTAGATACTATTTTTTTTATACCAATTCGTTAATGGAACTTGTGACTATACTCCAGAGAACTGGAAAGGTTTTTAAACTTCTTCATGTTTTCAGAATTACAACACCAAATTGTTTAGGGAGTTGGAGGTCCCTAATAGCAACAGCAGACTTTAATAGTAGTCTTAGTTCCAGGGATAACCCTTTGGAATTCTGGGAGGACAGATCACAGGCCTTGATTTTGGCAGAACAGAATCACAGTGTTATTTCTCTTAGAAATTTCTGTGATTTGGGTAGGTTTTGGGTTGATGCTTTTGCAAATTAAGTCCATCTCGATCTCAATCCATTACATTATTTGACACAAAAGGCCTCCACATAACTGATTTTAACATCATTCCCATGCAATGTCCTCATAATTTAAAACCTTAAATTCGTTTACTGCTTTTAGCACTGCACTAGACTTATAAGAAAAGATCCTGCTGAAGATCACTCTCCCTCTAGATACGGAAATTACAAGCCAACCAAAGAGGAAGATCCTTGCCACATATGCTGAGCTGAACGGAAGCAGATGTTCTCCTTCCGTTCTTGTATTTTCCGGTCTACAACACACATTAATGAGTGTCCACTAGCCACAAAAACAGAAGAGACATGTTCTATTTTTAAAAAGCACTAGATGGCTGGAAGAAATATTGAATTGGATAAAGGAGTACTAATGCAAGAGAGGTGTTTCATTCAACATCCTAGATCTGTTCATTTACCTCAGGCAAGTTATCAATTTTCTGCAAGTATTTCTCAAGTTTAATATGAAAGGGCTGGATTGGAAGTTCTCTGGGATAATTTTGGTGCTGACATTACAGGAAATACACAGGGGAATAAGTTGGACAAGTTTATCTTATCATAAATCATTTTCGAGAATTTAGTAACCCATTGCCAATGAGTTGATTCTGATGCACAGTGACCCTGTAGGACAGAGTAGAACTGCGCCCTTTCACTGTTATCCTCACCCATGGTTTGAGGGTTGAAATTTTAGCAAAGCTCAAAGCAAGCTGAGAGTGGATGAGTTAATGTGGTTAATATAAAGAACAATAAATTGGCTGCTATTTCATACTATAAAGTGTGGCTGTGGAGTTGGGGGGGGCGGGAGTGAGGGGGTGGTGGTGATGGGAAAGTATTGGCAGATGATATTAAATAAATTAGCAGAGATGAAAACATGAAGCCCTGTACGTCTTGCTTCCCATGTCCTCTCTTGTAGACCAGTGGGTTTTAAACATACGTCTATATATGTGCTCCATTGTTAGATATGTTGCAAACAATTTTATTAATAAAATAACTATTGAAAATTATTTCTTTTCTAAGGTAAGAATGAATCCAAGATTATTTCCACATTAGAAAATACCTTCCAAAGGACAGAAATCAGGTAGCATGACAGTGAGTTTGATTTCCCTTATTATCCTAGCCTCATCTTCTGATATTACATAATATGCAACATACTCACTTATCATACTAAAATAAGTTTCAACTTTGTGAATTATATACAAATCTTCTCCTATTGTAGCTTTTACAAAAAAAATTCTCCTTATGCAGCTGTCTGTTCTTTGACCTGATTTAGGTTTAAGGAATCTTTTGATTACGGTAATCCTTAGAGCTATCGCTGAGTCAGGGTTCTGACTCTTATCTGGCAGGTACGTGCTGGTGCACATATTATGGTGTCATTATTGTTCACTTACTTTGTTGGGTCATCTTCTTAAATGCAAATTGTTGGAGAGCCAACTTGATATAATAATATCCTTAGTACCTTATAATGTATTTCATTATATATATTTCATGAATGATTAATATTCTTCTAGTAATAACAGCAAGACAATGACTACTAAATATAAAGTTTTATACTTCTATTCACCATTACAGATGTGCATGAAGGAATAACTAACATGACCGAGACAAACTGTACAATCATTTCAAATTTTATTTTTCTGGGGTTTTCCCACTATCCTAAAGTTGAGGTCGTCATATTTGCATTGTGCCTGCTGATGTACTTGGTCACCTTGCTGGGCAACGTTATTCTGATCTCTGTCAGTATCCTGGATTCCCACCTGCACACCCCCATGTACTTCTTCCTCAGCAACCTCTCCTTTCTGGACATCTGGTACACCTCTTCTGCTCTCACTCCAATGTTGGCAAACGTAGTTACAAAGAAAAGCACGATCTCATTCTCAGGGTGCACTGTGCAGATGTACTTCTCTCTTGCCATGGGCTCCACAGAGTGTGTGCTCCTGTCCATGATGGCATATGATCGGTATGTAGCCATCTGCTTCCCCCTGAGATATCCCATCATCATGAACAAGAGAATTTGTGCACACATTGCAGCTGGCTCCTGGGTGACAGGCTCCCTTACCGCCCTTGTGGAAACAATTTCTGTACTGCAATTGCCTCTCTGTGGGAAAAATATCATCAATCATTTCACTTGTGAAATTCTGGCTGTCTTGAAACTGGTTTGTGTAGACACCTCCATGGTAGAACTCCTTATGCTGGTGATCAGCATCCTTCTCCTTCCCGTGCCGATGCTCCTTATTTGTGTCTCATATGCCTTTATCCTCTCCAACATCCTGAGGATCAGCTCCGCGGATGGCCGAAGCAAAGCCTTTTCAACATGTGCAGCCCACCTAACGGTGGTCATTTTGTTCTATGGGACAGCTCTCTCCATGTACCTAAAGCCATCAGCTGTGGATTCACAGGAAATTGATAAATTTATGGCTTTACTATACGTGGTTTTGACCCCTATGTTGAATCCAATCATCTATAGTCTAAGGAATAAAGAGGTAAAAATGGCTGTGAAAAGATTGCTAGTTAGAAACCCTCTTTATGCTCTCTTTCTTTCCAGTAGCAAATAATATTAATCAACATTAATCTAAGGGTCGTTTAATTTTCAGGGTACACCCAAACATTTTGATAGTGGAGAAAGACACATTTTAAATGAGATATTTTATTTCCTAAGTCTCTTCTTGACAGACCACTGTAACTCTCAGATAATATAAAGATTTCTTACCTAAACCTATCTGAAATATTTATATAAATACATATTCTATAACTGTGTAGCTGTATTTTACATGTGAGTATATACAGGCAATTCCTGAATTACAAAAAAGATTCATTTCTAACTCTGACTTTAAGTCAAATTTGCAGGTAGTTTGGAACAGATACAAACTATTTTTCTGGATCCTCATTTTAGTGCAAGAAGAGGCTCAAAGCCTTTTCAGAGGTTTAAAAGCCGCTCAAGAAGTAAAGGTGATTGTGATGAGGAGTTTGTTGTCAGTAGGGTTGGTCCATTATGAGAGTGAGGGAAATCTTACTTAGCGTTGAAGGGGAAGTGTGAGTTGCCTGTACTTTGATGTTCATTACTAGGAGACTTGCTGAAGTTGCTCATGCAGATAGACCTATGTGCTACGAATACCTACATACAAATGTAAAGAGTCTGTGCAAATATAGTCCTGAATAGAATCGGTTCAAAAGGTGCCAACCAGGGAAAAAGTTAGCATTTAGTAGTAATGTGTTGTTGAGAGGGTGCTGACATGTCTTAAATTCAAAAAAGGTATATCAGTGAAACTACTAGTACCCTTTCAATGGTACCTTTCTGGGCCAGCTGGTTTCTTAAGCTAATGAATTAATCTATCAACATTATAAAGGAAAAGGTGTGATTACTATGCCATAGAAAATACAATATTCAAACCTAATAAAGTGGTGTAAAATCGTAAAATATATGAATATATCTTAATATAGAGAGCACAGCATGCATGCAAATACCAAAATGAATACTCAAAAGCTTTCATGGAATTCATAGATCCTCTTTGGAACAAATGAATAAATATGAGATCAAGATGTACACATCTTATTTCCTATTTATCACAAATGTTTCACCAGAGTTAATGAAATTAGAATGATAATTTCGACCCAGGTTGTGAGTTTCTCCTTGGGGGAGAGACAGAAGGTGTTCTGGGCTTAATGTTGGGACATATGAAAAAAAATCATACCAAATATTCAATTAGCCCATTCAAAGGGTGACAATTTTATCAAGCCAGGTGCCTAGGGGAGACACAATGATCTTTGGTTATTGAGAGGCTAAAAGAAAGGTGGAAAAGTAGTGGTAATAGGAATAAGGAATGACAACAATTCTATGTACAAGAAGTAAGGAGAGTATACATAAGTAATAGCTAATACAGTTATTGAGATTAAAGCAATTATTAATTTCAGCTAATCAGCCCTAGTCATTCTACACTCCTTCAGAGATATAACCTTTATTTCCTGCAAAATGGCAAGGTGACTCTGATTTCTGGGTCAGGAGGTAACGTGTGTTTAAGCCTCACAAGTTTCTTTTTCTGTGTAGAACTTTCCGAGTAAAGTTTGTTTACCTTTTAAGGTTTTCTGTTGTTAGGCCTTGGATCTATTTTCTGTTAGTAGGTGCTTTTCTGTAATTGATGTCACTCAATATTATAAGCCTATGACAGTGCCTTCCGTTGGTGAGGACCTCTCTAGGTTTTGGCTAGGATTACGGGCCATACCGAAAATGGTTTCTTTTACCTGATTTGAGCCAATTTCAGTGAAATACACACATAATATCTAAGATTATCTCACTCTGATATTACCTATGAATTGTCTGGTTAGTGTTTTATAATTGGCTATTGTAATATATCCAATAACAGGAAGGAGTTTATCATTATTATTTTAAATAAAATGAAAAAGGGGAGAGATTGGAAGTAAAGGTTAATAAGGTTTCCATACTAGAATTGATCAATGCTTTTAAAAATCAGAATATAGAATATTTGTATTGAAGAGGAAATATGATCTATCATGATGACCAAAGTTTCTGGATCAATGTGGCAACAATGTTCAAATACAAAGAGATATTAATAATAAAAATTTTTCTGTATCCTTTCCATGGACTCTTACTTATCACAATAAAATAAAATAAAATATATAGTCTCTGTATTATTAGCTTAAACTAGAAAACATAAAATTATATTCTCTATATATTTTCTGAAGAAAAAAAATTATTATGTTTCTCATCTACAGTGTCAATACTTGTCAATTAAGTTATTATAGCTATTGAAGTAGCAATGTGGTATTATGGAAATGTGTGAGATCTACCACTGAAGAACTCCGGATTGAATGCCTATCCTTCCATTTTTAAAAAACTGTTTGACCTTAGACACCCTAACTTGATGTCATGTCCAGAACACAGAACAAGATATGTTGGGAGACCTGCTAGCCACAGGAAAAAGGCTCTGGAGAATGATTCATTCTCTCTCCCACTGAATACAAGCTTAGATGAAAGGATTGACGGTTTTAACTTTGTAAGGAATGTGAGAAGGCCGTCATGTTTGGTAAAGTAGAGGGGCAGCAAAGGAGAGGAAGACCCTCAAGGAGATGGATTTCACTGTCACTGCAGCAAGGGGCTCAAGCATTGGAACAATTGTGAGGATGGTCCAGGTCTGGACAGTGTTTCAGTTTGCTGTGCATAAAAGAGCCCACTCAATGGCATCTACAACAACAAGAATGTGGTGTGATAATGTGTATCCTTTTTGTTAACCAGAAAAAGGTACATACAAGTTCTATTTCTGAACTGAAGTAGAATATTATATGTCGGTTACTAATGCCAAGCTATCCAAAATACTCTAATATTTTAGTGGAAGTGTAGAAGTGAGAGCCTTTTCCTCAGTAGATAGAGAAAGAGATACAGAGACAGAAACACAGAGAGACCAAGATAGTGAGACACAGGGAAGAGTGTGATTTTGACTGAGTGAATCAGAGTTTTAAGAGATAAGTAATTTTTAGAATGAGTGAAACCTTTTGTTAACAAAGTCACAGCAGCAAACAGAAGAGAGATCCTTTCAGAAATATTGACTAGAATTCACTTAAGTGGTGGCAAGTGGAATGGTCAGCTGAAGCAGGTTGCTTCAGCATAGGCTCATGACTTTGGGCTTTATTCTTTAGAAAATGGAAAAGCAGTGAAGATTTTTAAGTATTTATGACACGATTAGGCTGATTTTGTGATAAAGACTGGTGTAGAAGATCGGGTGACAATAGAGAGATCAGTTAGAGGACCATTACAACAATGTCCATAAAAGGCAGTAAAGATGTAATATAATGGGATGGAAAAATAAGACACACGTGAAATGTACAAGAGTGTGGGGTTAGATTTTAGAATTTCTCAGTTATGGACAGGAAGCCATTAGAGATGAAACAATTAGTTCTAAGTGAATACCTGCTTTAACCATTGTTCAGATAAGGGGAAGCTAATGAGGATGGTAATATCACGTAGTTAGAGATATAAATTGATTGACTGGTTGACTACACCTTTGTGGTCAGATATCCAGGTGAAGACAAAGGTTAGTGAAATCCAAGAGAGAATCAGGAAGATAGGCACATATTTGGAAATCTTTTGAACAGAGATGGGAATGTGTATGATTGATATGGTCAAGGAAAAATAAGAACAAATGTTTTTAAAATAATTGACTCATATTTTTGTATATTTAGTCAGGACTGTGGAATGTTTAAAAAGAGACCCAGTTTTGTCATGGGTTATGTGTTGGACAGCTAATCAAAAGGTCAATAGTTCAAAACAGCTTCCCTATGGGAAAAAGGTGAGGCTTTCTACTATAATAAAGATTTATAAGCTTGGGAACTCACAGGAGCAGTTCTATCCTGGTTTAGTAGGTCACTATGAATCCGTAATGACTTGTTAGCAATGGTTATAAAAGAAAAAACAACACGTGAATTCTAAAGTGAAGAATTCCAATTTGGTTTTCTGTACAAGTCAAGTGATCTTTGGAGATGTATTAAAGAATCAAATCTAGTTTCCTCTTCCATGAAATAAAAATGTGTGACGATATTACACATTTTTATAGAATAAATAATGTATGGAAACAAGCAACTAGGATGGATCCTGATATTTATTAGCGATCAATTTTATTCTACCTGTGTTAAGTTGGGGTCTCTAGAAAAGCAAAATCAGTGGTATACATACTTAAAGAAATATATATCAAGGAAATGGATATGACAGTGGTTGAAGTGGTCAAGTTCAGTCTGGGGTAAGTTTGTGGGTCAGATGTGGAGCTGAAGACTTTTCCTGGCTCCCATAGCTAATGGAACTAGACAATCAGGAAACAGGAAGATGAACTAGGAGCTAAAATGATTACAGGCTGGTGTAAGCATGGGTACTGAGGAGCTTTGGGGTGTAGGGATTACCCATCAGCATGTGATCCACATGGTTGGCACTATGAAATTACCAGTGGACTGGGCTTTCTACGCCCCTAAATAGTTACAGTCTCAGAAACCCACAGGGGTCACTGTGGGTCAGCACTGACGAAATGGGAGTGAGGTTGGTTTTAATTTGGTAGGCAGGGGTGTGTCGATGGATGCAAGGGCAGCAGGTTGGATCCTCCAGCAGGCATTATGGCAGACTGCTATTAGCTTCCATGCTTGCCAGCCAATATCGTGGGCCACTGGCTCAAGTGCAAAGAACTGGGGTTTAAGGAAACAGATGCAGAATCCAGACACAGTGAGAAGGGGAAGCCTTCCTTCCCACAATGTCTGCTTAAACAGGGTAGACCACACCCCCAAGAAAACTTCCTTTCAATTGTATCATGGATTTGACTTGATTAAAGGGGCAACTAACTATCTGTGTGGATCATAACAAACTATGCATGGCTTTAAAAAGAATGGAAATCCAAAACCTGCATATGGACCAAAAGGCAGTTGTATGAAAAGAATACGGTTTAAAATTAGGAAAGGTGTGTGTCAGGGTTGTATCCTCTAACCATACTTATTCAATTTGTATGCTGAGCAGATAATTAGAGAAGTTTCATTATATAAAGATGAATGCAGCATCAGAATT